CTTTCAGATGGCTTAATTCTGCATATGATTACAAGAATCAAAACAAATTTATTGGTCATCGATTGTGTTTGTGTGGTAGTAAGGATGGTCATTGAAATGACTTGATGGAAAATATTCATTCAATACATCAGTAGAGTACTCCAGTGCATCGTGGTCGTTATCGAGAAAAGTGAGAATATTATTTTTTATTTCATGTAGTCGTTTAAGTGTAGATTTGGATTTTTCCGTGGTTGTATGAGTCATAGATAGATTGTAGATGCCAAAAATTAATTGATTCAATGATAGTAATCTAGAACAAGATATATTTATTTATAAGAAGTGGAGAAAAATAGTGTTAATTTTAATTATAATAATAATGAAATAACAGTATAATGTTTATATTTGTTTTTGAATATTGTCTTGATTATTTTTGCATTTTGGTTTTGGTCGTCTTAATAAACCTTGACACCATTGATCACCACGTATTAACCATGGATTAAGATCAGGTAAGTCATATCCTCGTATCATATTGCCTATACTATTCAATTTTGTATCAGCAGGAGTTATGAACAAGGATTCGATTAATAAACGAAACATTGCTGTATATGTTTCTGGTACTAAAATAAAAGTAAATAAAATCTCAATATTATATAGTTAATATAATTTAAAAAATTAGAACAACTTACAAACAGCAACAATTGTAGCATTATAAAGATCAAGATCAAGATTAAGTGAATTGTTATCTTTCTTATAGTGGAAATACTCCATTTGTAATGCAATTTGTCGTTTGGAAAAGACGTGTCCATTGGGAGGTTGAGGAACAGCTTCAACATAGATCGATGCATTATGTATCGTTCGTCGTTTCCGATCAAGTTCGTCAGAAAGATTTCTTCGTTTAATTATATATTCTTCAGATGTTTGTGCTTCTTCACATGTCATAGGTATAAAACGCCAATATTGTGGATTTGCATCAAGATAGATTTGTATGGCAGCTGAACATCGAGCCGAATGTTGGTATAATTTCATACGATCTTTGCTTACGATACTAGAATAGTTGAAGATCAACAATTTAAAATTAATAAAAGAATGCTAAACATATCATTATGATTTAGTATACGATAATTTTATTTTCAACAGTGGTATTGTCATCCATTATAGATATTAATCTAGAAATAAAAAGAAAAATATTGTATTGTAGTTCATTTATTTGATCATTTCAAACATAAACATTTATTGAATATAAAAAAAACTAGAATTATATTTACTATATTTCATTATATACATAGTATCTATGAATAATACTTATTTATTATTCAGCTAATATTTGAAATTTCATTAATGATTAATGTTACCGTATAGATGAAATGCGGTTCATCATTAGTTGTCCATTGAAAGCTGATACGACGACGTGGACGGCGATACGGTCCATTCATCAGCTGACGTATTAAATTGTCAATTTCATCAATTAACAGATTGTAACGTGCTTGGAAAGCAGCAGCTGTAGAATGATGTGTTGTTGTTGTTGTTGGTGGTAGTGGTGGTAATCCAGACATCGATGTATAACAGATCAGTTTATATATCTAAGATACAAATATAACTATTAAAATGAATGTATTGTTGAAAAAAAGAATATATAATTAAATAAATACAGAGCTTATCTTTGCGAACGTGTTTCGTAATTTTAAGAAGGTAACTCTTTAGGATTCCAATAAGAATATATCTGAAATAAAAATAAAAATAAATAGATTCATTAGCGAAGCAAGTTTTATAACAGATGAAAGTCTTCTAATTGAGCTTCAGCAAATTGTATTTTGGTTTTAGTAAGTTTCTTTGCATATTTAGTACGTTGCAAAATGTATTTCTTGATACAATGATTCAGTTGATTAATAGAATCAATAGTAGGCTTTTGTGTTGTTGTTTTGTCCATATTTAATGAAATTGAAAGTGGAAAAGATAAACATACTGCAAAGATACGATTATTTTCGCAATAGGCTGTTAATTGATGTTTCAATTGTAAGATATCATTGAATATACACATAGGTAGATCCTTGAATTCATTTATTTTATGTTGTATGAAACGTAAATTTTGTGTTGTAATTACACGTTTTTGTATATATCAACATATCTTCTGCTCAGAATTTGTTTTCTTTACCCATATTTAAATATTTTTCCCAAATCAGTAATTCGTAATTATTGCGAGGGTGTGAGTGTGACCAGCTACCATGACTAGTGTGTTCGATATTTTGTATATGTTGGATAGTTTATATCTAAAATGAAAGGAAATATGTTTATTAGATGTAGATTATATGTAAAAAATGTATAGTATGGTTTTATTATTGTGAGAGATTATTTAAGTTTTAAGAAAAGTGAAAGGAAACTATTGTGCTTTTGTTGTGTTATATCTGGAGTTTATTGTTTCTTTGGTATGGCTTGTCTGTGTGGTTGGGTTTATGGTGGTTGTTCTGATGTGGTATTTGTTTGGCGCGATATGTGTTTCCTTTTCAAGTACCTTTCTAGATGAAAAAAAAATAGAAATGTTAAGTTTGTATAGATTATATTTCTGTTGGATGTTTTTTTTTTGACATATACATACTTTGAAAAGGCTTGTTAGTCAGTAATGATTTTCGTGGTTTTTTACGTATTAAGTCATTTGTTGCTGCTCGACGATTTCGATTACCTACAATGAGTTTGACATCCATAGCTGGTGTATTATTGAAGACATCAGTATAGTTCCGATGTATATCGCGTTTGGTTGATGAAAATCGCTTTTCATGTGTATAGTGAACAATTAATTTGTTCTCATCGTAAGGTTTCTTTTTCTTGTTTTGGATTATGGATATTGAATCCGTTGGGATAGTGTCGGATTGATTAGTATGATCATTATTATTATCATTGGCGTTGGTTATATTCATCGCTACTTGTGATTGTCGCGATGTTGGTTGACCCATTATTTGATTACGCATAAGAACAAATTCTTTTTCATGTTGGACGAATGGTAAGTATGATGGTAATATTGATGTTGGTATATATTTAAGAAAAAACTTTTGAAATTCCTTGTGAATAATTGAACTGGGATAACTAAAGAAAGTTGATGAAATTTAAATATTTAACCATTTTATCTGATGAATTAGACTTACCCGTTATATAATAACTTAAGTTTAATATAACGTCGTTCTTTGTGGAATGCATCAAATGTAGATGAATATCTCATAGCTTGACTAAGCGCAGTTTGTACAATATTTCCAAATACATGCCGAGGATGATCAGAAGTATAGGGTACTACATATGGTTCAGCTGCTGGCTTATGATAAACTGATGTTGTTAAAATACCATTATTATTTGTAACGAGAACATTGAGAAATGGAAGACTTTTTCCAATTTGATAATCTAATTTAATATTTGGATGCCAGGTATTAGCATCATCTAAAAATTTTCGTAATTCTTCTTCAGATCTATTCCATGTTATAAAAACATCATCGATATATCTATGCATATTGTTTGTAATAGAATCATAATTTATTTTTTTTCGTTTTAAAACTTACCGGCCAAAAAATTCACCAGATTGGTTTTGTTCATCAACGAATTTTTGTTGCCATTTCCACATAAAAATATTTGCTAGTGTTAATGTCAATGCCGAACCCATAGCACCACCAATAATTTGTTTATAAATTTTTTTACCATAGACAAAAACATTTTCTTTTAATACAATTGATGATAATTTTTCGATTATATTGAGAGAAATTCCTTTCACTTTTTCATAGCCATGTGTAGAAAGGAATTCAATTAGAGTATCAAGTGCTTCATCTTGTGGTAACATTGTAAATAAATTATGAATATCAAATGTACAAAATAGAGTTGATGATTTAAAAAGATGTTTCCTAGTATATATTTCAAGTTGTTTGATTAGATGAGCACCATCGATAATAGTTGTTGTACTACATTTATCATTGAATATAGGTCGTATATGTTGATCTAAAAATTTTGAAATATTTGTTGTTGGAGAATGAATAGTATTCTCAATAGGTCGAACAGGTATACCATCCTAATCAAATACAATCATAACAATAATAACAATGAAAGTTTTCTACTGTATATATACCTTATGTGTTTTAGGATTAAAATATAAATGAGATAGTTCACATTTCTTTAGATCAGGCAACATTTGTTTTTCATGCCATTGATATATGAATTTTTTTGAACTGAGTGTTTTTAATAAACCAATAACTTTGTTCAAAATTTCATTGAATGGATTATTTGTTAATTCAGCAAAAGCATTTGTGTCAGAGAAATATTTGACGGCTTTCTTTTCATATTCGATCTTTGAACCAATATAAAAAATTTTACTCTTATCAGTAATACGAAGAATAAGTTGTTTCTTTTTGATTTTATTACGAATGGATTTTGCAATACGTGCTTGTTCTTGCGCTTGAAGTTGATCTTTATAACATATTGGTGCAAAATAAGATTGATTCAAATGATTAACAAGATGATTGGAATATTGTGTCAAAATCGATGCTGTTTTTGGCATATGTTGATTTTTTGTAAGATGATTTTCAACTTTATTATAAATATCTTTATGTTGATTTTTTATTTGAATATTTTGTTGTTTGACTGGACGAATTGCACTTTGATTTAATCTAATATAAGATGGACCTAAAATGAGAGATGATTAAATTACATAATTTTCAAACAAACTACGCAATAAAATAATCTTACCAAGTGAAAGATAGTTCCATTCACGTTTAGTAAATGGATTTGAAATTAAGTCAAGAAATGGTTCAGGTGATACGCCTATCATATTTTTTGTGATGGATGAACATTGTCGATGATGAAGTAGTTTTCCACGAAAACTAGACATTTCATCACGAATTTCTTTTTTTAATTGATCGGTGCGATATGTCATATATTGATTAATTTGATCGAAAAGTGTTGTACCATCAACTATAGTTGTATTTGTCAACAGTAATGATTCTAATTCTATTAGTATTTCTTGATATTGTTCATCATATTGCTGTAGGTTAATTTCATAAATAGAGAAAAACATATCTAACCACATCCGTTTTCCTTCTTGTATTATTTTATAATGTTTATATTTCAATTCAACTATTTTTTGTTCATTATTCAATGGTACATAGGTAATTGGTGACACAAAATTTTGTAGTTGATCGAAATTTTGTGGTAAGAATTTACATATGACACGTGTTTCTAACATAAGTTGTTCTTTCCAAATTTCTATTTGTTTTTGTCGTTTTGTAAGTAATTGATCGATGAATTTATTCTAAACACAATAAATGCATATCTTCTAGAAGAATTACTATTTAATACTAACTAAATCCAGAGTTGAAGAGTAAGTAGTTAGAATTTCAAATAATTCTTTTTCTTTGATATTATCTTTGAATTTAGCCAATTGATTATTATTTCTCTTGTCTAAATATTGTCGTTGACAATTGATAAATTCTTTTAAACAAGAATCAATTTGATCCATTGTTAATGTTGTTATTGGACATGATTGAGATTGTTCCGTTAATTTTATTTGATATTGATTCATTTGGTTTTCTATATCTTGGATATAATTGATTAGATATTGATGACATATTTCAAAATCATGCGTGTTTGCCGTTAGATAGAGTTGCTCCTTTATAATTGTTATAAAGATAGTAAAATATCTTTTTTATACGAGAAAAAAAACATGAACTTACTGGCCATCGACGTTGTTGTAAACCAATATCTAAATAGGATCGCCATAATTGTAGATCTATCTCTAAACAATAATGTGGATCTAATAGTTGTAGTCGTGTATAAATGAATATTTTTTCATCTTTTTTCTTCAGTGAATCATTTAATCGTTTCTTTAACATTTGAAAAAGTGTAGATGATGATCGTTCCAAATACATAGGTCGTCTATAATAACAAAATATATGTTCTATAATTATTATGGAGAAGTAGAGAAACAAACCGATAATTAATCTTCATATTATCGTTGATCACTTGCATAGATGACTTAATGATTGAATTATTTTTCTGTTTCATCATCTTTTTCGATGAACGTTGTACAATAGATATTGAACCTGTTGATTTTGGTAGGACAGAATTTGGTTTTAATTCTTGTATGGATATATCTCGTTTGCGCTTGTTTAAATTTGCCATTGGTATCAAATTTGAACAATCGCTTTTTTCAATTGCTACTGTGTTCGACATTATTGGTTTCGTACTATTACCATCATTTGTTATATTCGTTATATTGTCGTTCTTTTTCTTATCCACTTGCTTTCGCTTCTTAAGTAATTTTTCGATGATTGCTGGTTTTATTCGTCTTGCCCTACATTTTTTTCTAAAACGTCGATCTTTTCGATTACCATGACATTTTTTCTTTTGTTGTTGTTGTTGTTCTTCTTGTTGTTCTTGTTGTTCATGTTGATTTGAAAGAGATAGTTGAATATCTTCTCGATTCAGATCGTTTGTATCCATTGTCGAAATAATAACAAAAATCTAGAACGAGGAAAAGAAGAGAAGCAATATGACAGAAACAAAAGCTACGAGTCTATTAAAGAAAACATAAAAATGTCGAAATTTTCATTAAAAATTATGATTTAGAATTTGAAACAATAGATTGAGCTTTGAGTTTGTAAATAGATTTAATACGTCCACTAATTTTCATACAACGTTGATGCATAAGATTAAGCATTGTTGAAGATATTTTATCATTATCAGAAGTTGAATTATATGCATCCCACATTTTCTTCAAATTAATTTCATGCTTATTTCTGTATTCGTCTCGTTGTTCTTCCGCTGTCTTCATATAGAGAGCGAATATGTTTGCTCTAGATTGTTTAGCAACGTCTTTATATTGTTGAAATAATTGTTGTCGAATGTCTGGATTTTGAATAGAATCAATTAATGGATTATGAGCGATTGGTGAACATTCAAATGATTGGCTTGATGAGGAATAATAAGTAACTTGTTGTTTAAGTAAACTAACTTCTTGTTCTGTTGTTTCTTGTTCATATTTACTATGACAAAGTTCTTGCATTAATTGTTTCTAAATATAGAATAAATAATAAATTGAGGGATTATTGAATAAGTACTCTTACTTGAAAAGTATTTGGCTTTTGTCGAAGAAATTCTAGTTTTAATACATGAATATGATAATCATATTGAACAAGTTCTATTTTGTGTTCAATTTCCATACGTAAACAATGAAGATGTTGTTCAATATATGTTTCAATTATCTTTTGAATTGACAATGTATAATCTTGAAAATGATTAGCTTTTATATTTAATTCCTTTTGATTTCGTTTTAATTGATCATCTAATTCGTGTAATTGTCCATTAATAAAATTAAAATAAGTTTCATTTTCATTTTTATGTTTGTCTGATTGGAATAATATTTTAATTTCTTTTGGCCATATTGGTAAAATTGTTGAGTAGGATCGTTGTGTTTTAGATGGAATAATTAATTGTCCCATACCTGATTTTAAATAGGCAGCCCATAAAAGTTGATACGTTTGAATGACCATAATTTTATAGATTAGAATAGCTATTTTCCTCAAGTCTTCCATATTATTAGTTGATGTTGGTATTGACCTTGTTGACAGTGTTTCATAGATCATTTGTTTAAAAACTTTATTTCGTTTCATTAAATAATCTGGAATTTTCTCAATCTCATCTTTCATATATTTTAATGCCATTGATTTTTTCGTATTGACTATTGTTGTAGATAATTGATTAAGTTTTTCTGATATTGTTTGTTCTTCTGCTGGCTAAAATCGAATAATTCAATAAAGATATTCCTTTCTAATTAATATAATAGACAACTTACATTTAAAGTAACCGACTTGTCAGTAGTGCCATTATCATCATCATCATCATCATCATCTGTATTATGCATAATATTGAATTGATCTGTTTCATATTCATTTGTTTCTTGTTCCATAGAATAAACATTGTCAAAATCAATATCTTCCATCAATTCAGTAATATCATTATTGTTCAATGTATAATCCGTATGAATATCATCAAATTGATTGAGATAATCAAACTTTCATAAAAAGTAACAAAAAAAAATAGAATGATTTTAAAATATTTTTACTAACCTGTTGTGTATCTGTACTATCCTCTTGATCAGATGTTGTACTGGAATTATTATTAAATTCTGCCATATATTTAAAGTATCGTTTCGTGTCAGTCCACTAAATATAAGAAATCTAAAAAAAACAAACAACTTGGTAAATATACAATATTTTTATTTTCGCATTTGTGTTAACGAAGTTCTTTCACATCGAGAAGCACCGGTCACTTCGTCAGTATCATCAAATAATTAAACAACAACATCAAATGATTCATTAATTTCGTCAGCCATATTTAAATAGCTCTATGTATCATGGATAAACAACCAGTAAGATCACGATATATCTAAAACTCTTATGTGTTCGATGTGAATTTGATTCACTATAGAGTCATTAATAATTGCATAACCTCTGGCTATAAGAGAAAAAAAAATAAAAACGAAGAAAAGTGTGATACACACTAAGGGAATGATTGAATAATGCTGACTAATCTACAATATACAGTATCACACAAAACGAATACTATATAAAACTAAACAATGTGTAGAAGAAAAGGAAGCGCAAGGAAGACGAAAGAAATTATACATGCGGCTTGTCTCGATAATCGACGATTCTAAAATATGAAAGAGATAAGAAATTCAAAGGAAACACACGACTATAGTTTCGAATGGGGCTAAATCCATTCTATCGTCAGGCATGTTTCAAATTTATTATTACATATATTCAAAACCACATTGACGATGGGGTGTCAAGCTACCAAGATCTAGAGATGATAACATTACTTATTTATCAATGATTGTAAACATATCTTTGAAATTATAATAACTCGGCTGGTATTATTCAATAATCACATTGTGCGTTAATTATTACAGTCGATTGAATCAGTATTTTTTATTCTTCGCTGGAATGTTTTATGTAATTGAATATCGTAAACGTAGATATATCTACAATAGAAAAAATCTTATACTATGATATAGATAATGGTTAAGTGAAAAGTAAAAAGATATGAATTAAACAATAAAAGTCAATGTATATAGATATATATATATAGTTAATATGTAACAAAAAATGATACATTGACAAACAAAAGCTTGAATACATAGATTGAATAAAAAGAAAGATTTATGAGTATTTTTAAGGTGTATAAAATGATTCATCATCTTCTAAAATTGAAGAAAAAAATTAAATAAAGTTGATTTATTTATTCATAAATTATATTAAAATGTGCATCTTACTCATTCGATAAATACAAGCATGTTGATTCCAGAAATTGTTATCATTATCATCATCATATTGATCGATCGTACATGATATATCTTTTAATGAACCTTGATTTTCAGGTTTAAGAATTTCAATAGCCGGTTGATAGACTTCAACTATAGCTGGTTTGCCACGGTTGGTAATTGTCTACATTCGTATTACAAAAAAAAACAATGATAAAACTAAAACTGTCATTAATATATACATACATGAATTCGACCAGCTTGAAGAAAAAGATGTTTCTCGTTCGGATAACCGATATTTTCAAACTCATCCCATAGTATATTATCATATATGGTATAGTGTGCATATGGATTCAAAGTTTCAGGATCCCATTCATCACCATAATAATAATTATAAAAGCTTGATAACGGCCGAGCAAACGTTGTTTTTCCTGTATTAGCTGGTCCAATCAAAATAAGACATTTTGTTTTGTAATTTATTGGATAATTCTTTTTCGATCCATTGATTGATAAATTGTCCTAGAATAATATCTTGTGAATGAAATAAGAATTGCGAAAGGGGTGTGAATTGAATTCTCTTCGCTTAAAAAAAATATTACTAAGAATTCTGTTATACATACGTAGATTAGATGTACAAGTAGGAAATGATATTGGCCATGTATATCTAGGACGTATAGAACCAACTTGATAGGTATCTCGTTGAGCTCGATGATTAATATCAGTGAATGCGGCAAAGAATCTTTTAAAAAAAGAATCAACCAATTATATTATCAATGAAAAATAAAAACGAAATAAAAAATACATACTGTTCTTGACAACTACGAAATAAATCGGGTAAATAGAGAAACATTTGACTTATAGCTACTTCTACTGATGTTTTGGCTAATTCACAAAGTCTTTCGATAATTTGTGTATCTTCATCATTAAATTCTTTATTAGCAAGTCGTTGGAAAAGGGTCATTATTGATATTTCTGAATGAATATATATATGTATAAATCTACAATGAAGAAACAAACAGTATAGAATAAATTGATAGACGAAGATTTGAAGCAAATCAAGACTAAACCTAAAAGAATAAAGTAAAAGAAAAAGTTATATCGAAATACATGTGTTTCTTCGAATGACGGCAATATTTTCAATTATTTAAGACATTGATGGCGTGAACGTTATTGGTTAATATTATCAGCTCGATAGTAATCTGGCTTATGAAAATAATCATCAGGTCCTATATTTCAAAAATATAAAATTAAATCAATCAAGGTTTTTTCAATGCTTTCTTGTTATAAGTTACCCATTTGATAGATTATCGCTCGATGTTGCCAATAATTAAAAAGTTGCTGTTGTTCAATTGTGAGAGGAGGTTGAGCAATTAATGAGCCAGCATCTTCGTCATTTAAAAAGGCAATAGCTGGTTGTCGAATATTAATTTTGTTCTTGGTCTGTATTTATCTGTAGCCTATTGTACGTATAAGAAATGTAAAAGGAAAGAAAATAGAAACAAAGTATACCATTATCAGACCATTTTGTGTTAATAAACTTTTTTTTAGATGGAAAACCTAATTGTTCAAATTTATCCCAAGGAATATTATCAAAAATTAAATAATGAGCAGAATTCTTCCAACTATCTAGTCGCTATCGTCCATGAAAATAATTATATTGGTCAGGTAATGATTTAGCAAATGATGTTTTTCCAGTACCAGTTCTTCCAATTAGATTTAAACATTTAGCTCGTGATTTCTTTACAAATTCTTCTGTGTACCATCGATCAACTACATCACCTAGATTGTTTTGGTAATAAAACAAAAGAAAAAGAATTGTAATAGAATGTAATATATCAATGTATCTATACGTACGTAATTTTGATGTACAGTCAGGAAATGATTCTGGCCATGTATACTCTTTGACAGTAGTATCAGGACTAGCTGTATCATTATATAACCAATAAATAGCACTAAATGTATTTTTGTACCTAAGAATACATGACATAAAAAAATAGAATAATGAAATTAATAATTATATAATTCGTACCATGTAGCATATTTAAAAAAAAATCAAATAGATACGAATTATCTAACATGAATTGTAGAGCATTTCTGATTCTTGTGTTAGCTAAATTAAATGCATGTCTTGCCAGGGTTCGTTTTTGTTTTCGTTGCTCTTCTGCTTGTCCTCTAACAGTCGTAGTTCTAATCGAAGTGACGCTAGGAGGAGGAGGAGGAGGAGGAAGATCGACTGCAGTTATTGTGGATTGTAATGGTATATTATTGGATGTTGCAATTGGTAATGTTGATGATTGAGTTGGCCAATATTGAGTACCCCATTTTGTTGTTGCTTTAAATGAATTGAATTCAATGAAATCACCACCTAAATGTTATTCAAAAATTCTATTAAATATTGATAAAAAAATAAGTGGAATAATACTTCTAACCTTTTTTTAATATATTCATTCCAAGCTCTATCATTTTTTGTGACTTAGTAATTACAATGTGTATCTAAAAAGATTTGCTATTTTAATAGATATTCAAACGATCACTGGATAATACATACTAGTAATTTGATTAAGAAAACCGCTTCGTCTACTACGTTTTTCTCTAACAATAATTTGTATATGAAGATGTACATTGTTTGTTTTAGGACTAATCTCATAGTCTACACATATATATTGTATATTTTCAACTCCAAATCTTCGTTTAATTTCTGCCATAACAATGTCTTCTACAAATTTTTAGATCAACTAATATTAAACTATGTGAAAAACATATTTTTACTTACTAGATACATTAGTCCAAGCAGTAATAGCATATGTTTTAGTAGATAGTCGTTTCGTTTCTCTGGAAGATTGTTATTTAGTAATATTCATATTCGATTCCTTATAAATATCAACATTAAATTGCCATTCTTCAGTGACTGCTTCAATATCTATAGTTGTAAAAGTAATTAAAAAAAACATATCCAGTTCATAATACTACATACTAAGATGACCATAATCTGCATAAGGTCGATCATGTTCTGTCACAATACCCGTTTGATCAATCGTTGATATGGATGATCTAAAGATGTAGAAGAAATAATCATTTCTGATGGTTGATCAATATTCTCGTCATTGGTATCTATCATCATTGAACTTGTTGTTGTTATTGTGGGATTGTTCACTAACTGTAATAAATCCATGAGAGCGTCAGCCACTTCATTATGCTCCTTATGTTTTTCACGAATAATTAATTGAGTTGAATGTTCAATATCATTTGCATTTGTCTCATTTAAAAAATCTCTATTATTTTCATCATCATCATCAATATTATGACTAATATTATGATAATGAGATGTATTATTTGTTGTCTAGACAGATGATGAAATTATTGTGCTAAAAAAAAGAAAAAGGATTAATATAAGTAAAACTTACCATATTTAAAGTTGTTGGGCGATCAGCAGAAGTTTTATTTTGAGAGACATTCTTCTTTTTTTGAGATTAGTTACATTTAATTTAATATTCTGATCCTTTTCCATGTTCAATTTTATTTGAATATTAATAGCAGAAATCCGAAGATTCAATTATGGAGATATCTGAAACATAAATAGTAGTAAGAATATTGATGAAAGAAACCACTTTATTTAAGGAATACTAAAAAATAGCGGAAATGTGTCTGAAAAGGATACGAATTCATGTAGAGCATGAAAATATATGGAAGGAATCGGAATAGATGGATGATATAAGAGAAGGAGGGATATTATTGAAAAATAAAAGCAGTATATCGAGTTTCCCACGAAGAAAAACAACGCACAAAAATTAACAAATCATATTGAAGATAAAATAATACCTATGAACATTACAGTAAAAAATCTTACTTACTGCGTTCGTTGACCAATACAGAATGGTCAGATATTTGTAAATGTGCGGCTATTTATACACCCACGCAAGACAGAGAACAACCAAGAAAGAAAAAAAGACGTCAGTAAGGACGTTGGTAATATCAATTTTCAACTGGTTGTATTGGAAAACGAAGAGTTTACAGGAAAAAAATATATTTAAGAATTAGAATAAATAGAATAAAATTCTATACAACTAACACATATAGATCAAAATCATGCTGCTTTATCCGAACAACACAAACTATGTTTTCCCTTGTATTTGACTCACCTTCTATCACTAACTATTATAATCCACCGAGAAAAATGTCGAAGCCTATATCTAATTACACTGCACTTCGTAAAACTTTTGAATTAATGAAATTTTGTAAACTAGATTTTAAAACAAATTCCTTTTTGACATCTTCTCATTTCATATTTAAATTACACGAAATTTGATGAGAAGATATTAAATCACTTTGTTGCATTGCTACTTTTGCAACTATAACCATTCAAATATGTATAATAAAGAATCTTCATGAAATCAATCATGACAAATCCTTTACTACCCTCGTGCAACAAAAACAAAACAATGAAGAACCTATCACATAAGTGACCGAGAACTTCAAAGAGAAAAGAAGAAAAGAGTTGAAGAGCCTATCACGCGAGTGACCGAGAACTTCAACAAAAGAAAAAACAGAACAAGAAAGAACCTATCACGTGAGTGACCGAGAACTTCCGATAAAATAAAAT